TACAAGAGCCAAGATCTAGAAACAGATGAAGTGCCCATCCGTAGATGAGTGGATAAAAGAGCTGTGGTACATCTCCAGAATAGAATACTATGTGGCTGTAAAAAAGAAGGAACTCATACCCTTTGCAACAGCATGGATGGATGGACCTGAAGATTATTTGCTAAATTAAATAAGCCAGTCAGAGAAATATAAATGCCATATGATTTCATTTATATGTGGAATCTAATAAACCAAATAAACTAACAAACAAAATGGAAACAGAGGCATGGATACATGGAACAGACTGACAGCTATCAGAGGGGAATGGGGTTGGGGTACTGGATGAAAGAAGGTTAAGGGATTAGCCAAAATACATATATACATAACCCATAGACTCAGAGAACAGTGTGGTGATAGCCAGAGGGAAAGGAGGGTGGGGGTAGGTGGAGGTGGGTAAAGGAGGAGAAATTGGGACAGAACGATATTTTGCTTGGGGCAGTGGGCACACAGTAAGTGTGTTGATGATATTTTATTGAGTTGTATACTTGAAATCTGTATGGTTTTGTGAACAAATGTCATCCCAATAAATTCAATTAAAAAAGAAAAAAGACTGCAGAGCTTGTGAGGAATAGATGGGCAAAGGAGGAGGAGCTGGTTAAAAAAAAATAAGCCATCATAAATGAACTTCATAACAATGTTGTCTCAGGCAGCATGTGGTATGGCTGCATCTCCGGGTGGAGCTTCCTTCATTGTTCCAACTACCACTATTTCCTCCATCCCCTGCTCTTTATGATCCAAATCAGTAATGGCATGCCACTGTTGCTAGGCCCTGGCTGACTCTCTATCCCTTATTGGTTCTCAGAACCCTACACATGCCTTCATGTTGTCAAACTTTGTGGAGTGGCTGTCTTTTTCCAGCCTAGACCCTGACTGATACCAGGATCTTCCCCCATCCCCTCACTCTTCCTTCATGAATCAACATGAGTACAGACTTCCAGTAGCCTTTCAGTATTCATTCTGCATTTTGTCCTTGATAACAGAACCCTGGGCAATGTGTTTCTTGGAAAAACCACTGTGTTTCTCTTTGAAAATCCACATTTTCCAGCCACCCTTGCTGCTACATATGGCCATATCTCTGAGTTTTGGCAATGTGCGCAGAAATGTTATGTGAGACTTTAAGGAAATTTCCTTAATAGGCAGTCCTTTATACCCTTTCCTCTTCCTTCTGCCTGTAATATGGATGAAGGATGTGATGGCTAGAGCTCTAGGGAGCCACCTTGGACCTGACAAGACCTTGAGAATAGAAGCTACCTTAGGGAAGCAGGGCCATGGCTCCTGTTGACTTAATGGTTCCCCCTTAACAGCACTAGACTGGCTACTTCCAGGTTTCTTAATACAGTTGTAAGAGAAATCTGCTGGTGGAGGTGTAGGGAGAGGTGAGAGAGGAACATGAAGAGGAGACAGGGTTAATGGGGAGACATGTGTCTTCTGAATCAGGAGGAATAAAAGAATATGTTGTAGATGCCAATGCTCTGGAGGTGGCAAGAAGGAAAACGGGGAGGGGGTTGCTTGGTGGCTGGTCTCTATTTACTTTTTTATGACGTGGGAGACATTCCCACTGGAGAATGTAGAAGACGGATAGTAGGGAGAACAAGAAAGGTTAAAGTGGTGACCTTGAAGATTGAATAAAGGACCAGAACAGCTCTGGCCCGTTTGCTCAGTGGTTAGAGCATTAGCCCGCAGACCAATGAGTCGCTGGTTTGATTCCGGTCAAGGGCACGTACGTCGATTGTGATTCCTCCCCAGCCCTGGTCTGGGTCGTGTGAGAGGCAACCAGTTGATGTGTCCCTGTCATATTGATGTTTCTCTCTCTCCCTCTTTCACTTTCTCTCTCTCTCTCCCCCTCCCTCCCACTCTATCTGAAGATAAATAGAAAAATGTCCTCAGGTGAGGATTGGAAAAAAAAAGGACCAGAACAGCCATGATGAAGAATACAAAACGAATTTGGCTAAGGCTAAAGAAAAGGAATAGAAAGCTGGGGGCGGGGGGGAGGGAGGGAGAGAGAGAGAGAGAGACAGAGAGACAGAGAGACAGAGAGACAGAGAGACAGAGAAACATTGATTGGTTGCTTTCCGAACATGTCCCAACCAGGGACATGCCACCTGACTGGGAATCAAACTGGCAACCTTTCAGTGCAGAGGATGACATTCATCCAATGGAGCCACTCCAGCCAGGAGAAAACTGGTTCCTTTATAGGTAAAAATCCAGGAAATACTCTTTCCCCGCAAATCTTTAATTACATAATAGCATAATTCAGGTTACTACAGTGTGGTAATTTAGCAATTTACAAGCTATTGTATCCATGCTGTTAGAGCATTCAAATTATTCAGTGCCAAAGGGATTAGTTTTTGTAGTAAAAGATATAGCTGGATAATTATTAAGCCTTTTATTGACATAGAACTTTAAGAAGGGCCTGTATATAAACTCTGTTATTAGTACAACATAAACCACACTTCCATCACATAAGCACCAAAGCCAAAATAAATTTTAACTGCATATGAGCATAAACATGTATTATTACTTGCATTTTCCACGAAATGGTAATAAATCAAAGGCCTGTCATCAGTGTACATTTGCAAACTGGCAGCCATAAGTAGCTGGGGTTAATTGCGACCTTTATGTTGTTTGAACGTATTCAAAATTTTTATTATTATTAGAGGATAAGATGTGCTTGGTTTTCTTTGTATCAAATAAGAATATTTATTCTTAAATAACACACATCCTTAGAGACTTTAGAGCAAAACCTTTCATAATATTTAGCTATTTTTAAATGTCAGGTGCAGTTGAGTTTATTACATTGCCGGTCCATGCCGTCACCCAAAGTCTCCTGCTTTTAGTGGTACTTAACAGATTGTCTGTAAATTGATAGCATTTTCACATTTGGAAAATTTCCAATTTTCTCATGGGAAAGGAGGGCAGGTGTTTTCCTCGAACTTGGTGAAGGTTTTTTGTTTTTGTTTTTGTTTTTTTGGTTAGTTTAAGGGGAGGTGTGAACTAAGAAGAGATTTTAGAAAAAAATATCTTTTTCATCATCCTGAAGCCTATAAAATCAGCTCACCCAGAAAATTTTACTGACTCTAGCTAGAGGGTAAATTTGCATCAGGAATGTTTTCAGTGCTGAAGGAGTAAGCATGGAAGTTCTTCAGAAGCCTCCACTTACATGCACCAGGCATGCTACTTCACACTACTCACAGCATGGTTTAGAGAACAGCAGGGGTGAATAAAGAGGGTGCTACTTGGAGTCAGAAGACATGACTTTCATTTCTGGTTATGCTACTTATGAGCTTTATGACTGTGAACATGTACCTAGCATTTCCAACCTTGATTTTCTTCTTTATGAAATACGGATAATAAATCTGACCCCTGCCCTCACCCCTAGTACAAATAGTCTTCAAGATTAATCTCTGTGATAATGCCTACAAACATGCCTCAGGCCCTGGAAAGCTTAATGCAAATATGAGGCAGTTTTGCTCTTGAAAGGAATTCTCTAGAATTTACTTTGATATCCTGATTTTCTATATATAAATATACATATGTGGTGTGGCAAAAGTAGGTTTACAGTTGTTCATATGGAAAATAATACAGTAATTAATAATACAAGAATAGCCCTGGCCGATTTGGCTCAGAGATTAGAGCATCGGCCTGCGGTCCAGAGAGACCCTGGTTTGGTTCCTGCTAAGGGCGCGTACCTCGGTTGCAGTTAGTCCCCAGCCCTGGTTGTTGGTGCGGGTGGCAGCCACTCGATGTGTCCCTTTCCCATCGATGTTTCTCTCTCTCTCTCTCTCTCTCTCTCTCTCTCTCTCTCTCCCTCTCTCCCTCTCTCCCTCTCTCTCCCCCTCCCACTCTATCTGAACAAACAATGGAAAAATGTCCTCGGGTGAGGATAAAAAAATAAAAATAAATAATACAAGAAAAATCTGTTTCACTGACTCACAACTGTAAATCTACGTTTGTCCCACCCTGTGCATGTGTGTATATTATATCTGTACATATATGAAAGTAATAAAGTTAATGTTGACCAATGGGAATCAGGTGATCTTTGGATCTCTGTCAACAATTTAGGATCTATAGGACAGTGGAGGCAGAGGTTAAGTGGAGGTCAGATGAGAAGGCCCTGGAGCAGACCACCCAGGTTCACATCCTGCCTCCAGACTTTCTACTGTATAGTTTTGGACAAATCACTTTGCCTCAGGGATAAGATATTCTGACCTCATGATACTGCTTTGAGGACTAAATGAGGGACATGCAAAGCACTCGATTGTAAGCAGAGCTCTAGCTATGGTGGTTATGGTTCCAAGCAGTTTCTTAGTAGTTTGAAATTCAGACTTGATACTAAATGTACCTCCTTCCCGATTTTGGATTTTATTTTTTTGTTTGTTTGTTTTTTCTGAGAAGCAGATTTTAAGAAATTAAATGCTGTCTGTCATTACAGTGCTGCAGCTTTTTGAAATTTCTGTAATTAGCCACTCCAGCGCCATCTCCCTTCTTTCATTTTAATGGTCAGTTCTGTGTGAAGGCTTGTGCAAGAAGAGTTGCTGGGTTCAAAGAAAAATACAACAATTGTATGACACATGAAATAAAGTTAAATGAATTACAATGACTCTTGAACAACACATGTGTAAATTGGCAGATCCACATATATGTGGATTTTTTTCAATAAACACTAAAGGTATTTCCTCTTCCTTGATTTTTTTAATGTTTTCTTTTCTCAGCTTAGTTTATTGTAAGAATACAATGTGCAATACATATAACATACAAACTGTGTTAATTGACTCTCTATGATATCGGTAGTAGGCTATAAGTAGGTAAGTTTTGGAGGAGTCAAAGTTATATATGGATTTTTGACTTTATGAGGAGTCAGCACCCTAACCCCCACATTGTTCAAGGGTCAACTGTATAATCAACTTTCACTGAATTGTGCTTTACCTCTTTTAAAAAAATTTTTTTTTCTTTCTCCTTAGCTCGCACCTGAAGTTTAGTAATCTCACGCTAATTTCAACCCATGGACTCCCTGGAAAAAAACTTCTGGGCTCTGAACAAAGGAAGTTTTTAGCAAGCGAGTATGAATTCTATTTGCTTTTTCATTCTGAGGCCTAAATATCCTAATTTGTATGGTGTCATTTCTATGCTAAATAGATTTCAGATTGGAAAGAGAAAACTGGTGGGTTTTTCTCCCAGAGTATAAATGTCACTTAGGAGATACAAGTACAAATCTGTTCATGAGTGTATGTCAGGGTTGGGCTGCTATTTCATATTTGTGGAAAGACCTCTGCCCTCCTTCCTCCCAACAACTGGGATGGAGCCTTCTGACCCAGCCACCTCCGCGTTCAGGTACTGAGTGACACTATAGGGCAGGGGAGCCTGGTGACTGTATTTGCATCAGACCAGGCAACTCACCCTAGGCTCGGAGTTGGGAGATAAAGGACAGGCACCTCACTGGGATGTGTGTCACACCCACAATGGCCATTTATAACCAGTGGCTGATCAGGGAAGATCTTCTCTGCCACTCTAGGCAAACTTTATTGTTTGCATCCCAGTAGAATCCCATTTAATTACCACACAGCTTCCATTAATATTAATTTCCTGTAGTAAAACACGGTGTAAGAATTATTAGACTCCTTGCCTCTAGAAACAATGTTTAGATTTTTTTAATGAGGAGGAAAGAAATTGTTCCCTCTCAGGGTATTCATTTTAGAATCCATGATGAAGAGATCTTTCCTCTGTGAAAAAGACTTACTTTGCCTTCAAAAGTAGGGCAAACAGTGAGAAAACCTGCAGCTTTCTTGTTAGCAAAACCAAGCTCCTTTTGACCTAATACATCTCTCAGACCATGAACTTTTTTTTGAAGGACATCACTGGGGTGTGGTTAAAAAAAGAAAAAAAGCATGGGTTTTGAGCAGGTGGATTTGGATGCAGACCCTGCCTCTACCACAAAGGAGATTTCAGTCCCTGAACTTCAGTTTTTTACTGTGAAAAGTATATGATAAGCCAACCTTGCAGGAGTTTTTTGTTAAAATTAGTAGAACAGTAGTTCTGACAAAAAGTAGAGGATTTGCCCTGGCCTGTTTTGCTCAGTGGTTAGAGCGTTGGCTCGCAGACCAAAGAGTAGCGGGTTCGATTCTGGTCAAGGGCACGTAACTTGGTTGCAGTTGGTCCCCGTCCCTGGTCGGGGTACTGTGGGAGGCAACCAGTAGATGTGTCCCTCTCACGACAATGTTTCTTTCTCCCTCTCTCCCACTGTATCTGAAGATAAATAGAAAAATATCCTCGGGTGAGGATTAAAAAAGTAGAAATTCAATACTTGTACATCCCCTTCCCTCATAGTCCTCTTTCTGAATTACATGATTCCCAGTAAATGTTGGTATTATTGATACATGTCTCACAAGGACTATAATTCACTCAGTTTGATACAGGTTTCTGTCAGCCCCTGTGTTGGTAAAGAAGAACTAGTAATGGCTTTCTCTGGTGTGCTACTGTGTGGGATCTGTGTGTGGCTAGGTGGGAGGTCAGCTGGTACCCCTGCTCCAGTGCTTGCCTCTCCAAATTCTCAACATCGTAGCCAGAAGGATGCTGTGTAAATGTGAGTCAGATCTTGTCAACTCCAGAACTGTCCAATAAGGTGGCTACTAACCACATGTGGCTATTTACATTTAAATTGATTCGAATTAAATGAGATTTAAAATTCAGCTTCTCAGCTATGTTAGCCATGTTTCAAGTGCTCAAGTAGCCACGTGTGGCTGGTAGCTGCCATATCAGACAACACAGCTACAGAACATTTCCATCACAGAAAGTTCTGGAGTGCTCCAACCTAAAGTCTGTCCCTGTCCACTTATTTCTCTGACCACATCTTTTACCATTTTGCCCTGTTCTTTCCTCTCTAACCATACTGGCCTCCTCAATATTCCTGAAATAGGCAGGTTTTCACCTTGGGGCTTTGCTTTTCTCTCTCCAAGTCTTTGCTTAAATGTCACCTTTTCACTGAGACCTACCCTGACCACTCATTCATCTGCAGTCAACACTCCAGTCCTCCTTACTCTGTTTTTTCTTGCTACTAAAATCCCTCTAAATGCTACCTAATTTGCCTTTGAAAATTATGTTTTTTCTTTATATTCTGTGAACAATGTAAATTCCATGAGGGCAGGAATTTTTTGCCTCTTTGTTCACTGATGTGTCCCCAGCATCTAGAACAGTGTTTGGCACATAGCAGGTGCTCAATAAATAATGTTGAAAAGATTATTACTTCCAAATGTACCTGTGAAAGTCATCTCAATCAGATTACAGGTAGGAACTAAATAATATGGTCAGATGTCTCTGGATGGGTAACTGCATGTTATCATCATTCTAGAAACTACAAATTGAAACAAAGACATTGCCTTTCAAATGGTCTTCATATCCCAATAAAGGAAATTATCTCTGGTCATGGAGTTTAAAAATAACAAGTGCATTGACATTCATAAATTTAATAATTTAAATTCCTCATCTTAAATACAAATTCTGAAGTTTGCCCTAACCGGTGTTTTGACTTATTATTGTTGTTACTATATTTTTAATAAGCCAGTTTTTGTCTTCATTCTCTGGCCCCATCCAGCATCTGTTGGAGGTGCTAATGACATGCCAGGGATGCAGCAGAAGGGAAGGCAGTGGGAGGAGAGGAGAAAGAGGAAGGAAGAGAAATCCACTAATTGGACAATCAGCCCTGAATAACTAAAAGTTAATTGTGATGCTCCTTCTTCTAAGAGAGTAATGATAAATCCTTTATGAAAACTTCCGAGGTTCTTTCCAGTTCTGAAGGGTTCTGATTCCATGAAGTGCAGGTCTCCACTGTACTTATATTTGCTCCCCTGGGATTTGCTTCTGATTTTGCACTCGGAGCTTTTGAGCTGTCTTCTGACACCAGATGTGGGACCACAGCAACTTTGAACAAGCAGGCCACTTATCAGAATGTCCTCTTCCCAAAATTTTTCTGTCCTGCATTCCTGCTTTTTAACTTATTACCTGTTTCTAGAATGTTCTATCAAGACAACCTTTCCCATTATTTTGAAGTCAGGGTCAAGCTCACTTGAGAAACATGAAGTTTCATTGATGTTCCTTCTTGGCTCCTTCTCTCTTTTCCAGAAATACGTAATGGAGGTATTTCTCTTGTCCTCAAGCCATGAGATGGCCATGTTAGACACAAAACTCACTAACTCTGCTTAGGAAATAATTTGGGGAAAATATCACTTATAGTTTCCAATGCCTAGTTCCACCTACCTAAAGAAGGTCCAGAATGGATAGTGATATCAAGAATGGATGGTAATCACCTGCACAGTGGTATTTTAAACTGAGAAAACCATAGTAACAGACTGTAAAAGCAGCACCCCACATTCTTCAATGCTTCCTAAGGTTACTAAAAATTATTTCCCAAGTGCCAGTTCACAGCTTCAAATTTTAACTCTAAAATATGCATTCTGACACTATCACACTACTGTCCTTAAAAGTAACATTGTCTTAACCTTCCCCAAATTTCCCCTGAGAATTTATTTGTCATCAAATCCTCAGAAGATGAATCCCTATGCACTAACTATATTTAATTTTTCTTCATCTTAGATGACTGACAGGGCAGTGCCAATTATAAAGAGACTGTGATGCAAATAAGAACAATTTTTTGTGGGTCCCTTATGACTTTACAAAGTCAATGAAGTTTCCTGTTTTCCTGTAAAGCTACCAAAATGGTTTTAAAAAAAGAATTTCATCATCTCATTCTCTATCATTTTCCTGTGACAGGCCAGCCTCCGATTTTCTTTTCTTATTAATAGGAAATTTTCTTGTTTTTAAGTGTTGTTTCATGGAGAGATACAAAGCCCAGCGCTGCCTTCTCTGTCACAGGTCCTGTAACAGAGCCTAATGTGCATCCATTACAAGGGTTCTTTGTGTGCATTGAGAGCAGACTCATGAGTGGATCAAAAAGAAAAAATCTCTTCCATTATCACTTTAGTACTGTTTGCCTTCAAGGGGAGTAAACAGGATTATGTATCATTAATAGTATTTAGAATAATATTATTCACATATGCATCCACTTGACAAAATAGCATCTCTTACATTCTCACATTCGGCCCTTACAATGATCGAGGCATGTAGGGAGGAAAATTATCCCATGTTGAGAGATGATGAAACTGAAGTATTGAAAGGAGATGCAGAGTCCCAGGGTCCAGTCCCATTGGTGACAAAGTGGAGATACAGACCTTAGCACAGTGAAGCTTAGATTTAAATGAAACATGTGTTCTACCACCCTCTACTCTTGTAATGGTGTCAGAACAGGATTACTAGGAGGATCGTGTACAGGAGGTCACACCTTTCAGAAATTTCTGGAAACAATCCTCACAAAACTCTTTTAAAAAACCAACATCAACAAGAAACCCACTTTTCTCACATTATAGTAGAATGCTCACACTCAAATGGAACCCAGACAACAAAACCCATCCACCCTGGACCTATTGTTTGCAGAAGTACCAGTTCCCCATAAATCACCTTGCAGAGTAGATCCCAAAAGTCTTCAGGGTCTGTACTTGCTTTGAACATAATTTCCTAATTGATATCCTCTCTAAATAAAGTGTGTTTTGTTGTTTTGGTACAAATCCATACACTCATTCTAAGAATTAGAAATCTATTGAAAAAATTAGCAAATAGGCGGGTTCTCAATATTCAGGACCTTGACCCCTGCTTTGGGGAATCCTTAGCCATATCACTTTCTTCTTCCTCATTCCTTTTGGGTCCATTGTTAATAGGACAAGTCAACAGCTAAAGAAACTTTATACTCACCATGAATTAGAAGCAGAAAGATATATATTAATGATTTCACACACACACATGCCCCTTCCCTCCCTGTTGTGGACTGGCCAATGCTAGGCAAAACAATTTAGCTTTGATGGAAAGATGTCAATTTGTGACTGTTTCATAAGAAAAAATCTCCTAGTATGTAACCTTGCTCCTGGTAAACTCACAGCAAGAGCACAGACTCAGCCCACTGGGGGACTTGAACCAGCTCACCAGATGTCTAATTAATGCCCGCTGTCAGCTGCTCAAATGTCATTGATGGAGCTTTTCTCTCTGCAGCCACAGTTTTAATGATAAAGATCACGCATTGATGTCACTGTGTTCCTGGGTCAATGTTGTGGTTGGTAGAATGACTGCCATAGACAGAGCAGCCAAGCATGTCGTGGTTTCCCAAGAAGAAATCATACTCTACGACCACCTCATCCTCTGCACTGGGCAGCAGTACCAGGTAAGGCCATCTCAGTGATTAACAGTTAATTTGTTTACCAGACACATGCTGTCTGGGTGAAGAGCACACCTTCTTGCCTGACAGCTGCCACTCTGTATTCATAAAAGTGTCCTGCAAAGCTCGAGCACATGACCAGAACTGTGTTTAAAACCCTCATGGAAACCCATTCCAAGAAAAGCATTCTGCTCAAAGATAAAAATCACAGCAAGTCAGAGAAATGTTATTCTTTAAACTGTTGTCCAAAAGTCTAACACTTGCTGCTTATCAGAGCAGAATCCAGACACAACCCAGCATGCATTTGCAGGAAATTAATTTATGCCTCAAAAGGCAAACTTGGCAGTGGTGATGGGCTCACGCAAAAATATTGCAAACATGTGTACCTTCTGTCAACCCTTATTTTACTTTGTCTCTCAGTTATAAAACTAGGAAATGTGACTGATTGATTACCCAGTGACCCTGCTGTCCATTTTGATTAAATTCTCAAGCCACATTTGAGGAAAGCATTTCTGGATACAACTGAAGCTGTTTGATATCTTAAAGGAAGTGAGTTTTAATATTCTCACTTTGCAACACACATTAGCATTTCATGTAGCCCATAAAATAGGGCATCACTTTAATCGAAAGAGATTTACTTTGTAACTCAAATATGGGGTGTTTTCTTTCTTTTTTTTTTAATAGACACATGATTCTTTTTTTTTTAATTTTTTCTCTGTATTGATTTTAGAGAGAGAGGAAGAGAGAAGGAAAGAGATAGAAACATCGATGAGAGAGAACATCAATTGGCCGCCTCTTGCATGCCCCCCACTGGGGATCAAGCCCACAACCTGGGCATGTCTCCTGACCTGGAATCGAACCAGTGACCTCTTGGTGCATGGGTTGACGCTCAACCACCGAGCCACACCGGACAGACCAAATATGGAGTCTTTTAATTACATTTCTCTTAGAAACCTGAATAGGCCTTCCTGTGGTGGGTTTGTTCCTGAGGAGTATGGAGCAATCCATCCCCACCCCAGACACTGCCACATTTTATTTAGTTATGTCTTAGGTCATCTTGTGAATGGTCCTGGATTTGTTGTAAGGGCAGGGGTGTGTGTCCTTTCATAGCCAAGCCAGGAGGAGGCAGCATGTAGTGGAGGACAGAACAGCTGAGCAGCTCCAAGCATCACTTACCTGCAGCTCTGAGCCATGGCTACACATTGAAACCACCTGGGGCACTTTTGAAATATACCCATGCTTAACTCCAACCCCAGAAGCTCTGTTTTAAATATTCGAGGGTGTTAACTCAATCAGCAACAGTTTCTTTCAAGCTTCCCGAAGATTGTAAATCAAGGCAAAGAACCACTTACTTGAACTTTCTCTACCTAGAATCTCTCATCTATACCTTAGAGCAGCACTTCTCAAACTGCAATGTATACATACCTCCCTGTACATCTCATTAAAATGCAGATTCTCATCAGGAAGGGGGAAGGGGCAGCTGAGATGCTGCAGTTCTAACAAGTTTCCAGGTGAGGCTAGTGACTAGACCATACTCTGAGTATAAAGGCTTAAATCAGCCTCTGAGTAATGTCTTTCTTTCTCTTTTCTTTTTCCTAGTTAAAGGAAACAAATAAACTTGAGAAATATCTTATTTTGATACTTTAGTATTCCTCTTTTTAAAACATTATACCAGAAGAAAACACCATGCACCCCTTAGCTTGCCCCCCTTCACCTTCTCCACCGAGTTCCAGCTGCTGCCTGCATTGCAGACTTTGGAAAATATGAGTGGAAGACACAGGCATCTGCCCATGTGTGTCCAGCTGTCCCTGCAGCTTTAGTCTGTGGCACATTAAGCTCTTGCCCTTTTTACAACAGGAGAAATGAAATGAAGAGGTGGCAAGAGAGTTCCAATTTAATTTTTCCAGGACATAAAAACTAAAGGCACATAGAGTGATACCAAAAAAAGCCACTAAATTCACTTGAAGTTGAGGGGCCCAGTTCTTATTTCTTGTCCTATTCGCTTCTCCAATTTTCTCATGGTTTTGTCCCAATTTCATAATTTACAAAAAAAAAATCCCCACAACAAATTCAAATGATGAAAATAAAGCAGAAATCCCAAACAAGAAGATAACCTATTATAAAATATAATTACAAGCCTTAACCTCTAATCAGACCTTTAAATGGCATGTATCATTTTACAATATTATGCAATATTTTTGATATCCAAGTGCATATCACTTAATATTTTTATCAGATAATCAATGCACAAGATAAAACATTTAATTGTACTGCAGGGTTGCAAGTGAGGAGGGCTGTTCTCTACTCGCAAGCCAGCGGCAACCACTTAGAGGCATGTCTATTAGTTCTTCAATACTTTTACCCCTGAACTCCAAATAATGCATTTATTGATGTTTTTTTTCTTGATCTGTCAACTTCTGACATTATCTATGACCTTTCCATTTGGAAAATGAAGATTTATCTAGTTCATGTTCAGTACCCTCAGACTCCCTTCCCCACCTTGCCTATTGATTTGATTATTTTTATTGGTGAGCACATGATGGTCCTGAAACCACTCTGAAACAGCTTACAACTGAGGTCTCTGAGCCACTCTCCAGGGCTCGTGGAGAATCATTCAGAGAGGGAGAAATGCCTGCCCCATGCCTGGATTTGGGTTATCTCAAAAAAAAGGAAGAATAAAGAATTGTCAACTCAAATTCAAATGAGTCTGGTACTGACTATGAAAAGACCATGATAGGGACTCTCAAAGGGGTGACTCTCACTAGAAGCCAGCAGGCAGGGCATCATCCAACCTGGCGAGTTATGGTGAGCTTGGTGTGGGTCAGCAATATGATATGGTCTCCATGGAGCCTAATGACATCTTAGATTGGGTAAATAATAGCATAGTATCTAGAATGGTGCAGCCCCAGGAGAGAGCTTGCTACAAACAGGTAGAAAAGAGAGTTGTGCACACCTCTTATGAAGATGATGAGCCTCTTCCATGCTGAACATGATCATGTCAAAGAACATGTCACAAAAACAGAAGTACACCTGGAGTATTATATTTCCTGAAGTCACATTTAGGAATGGAAGAACAAGCTGAAAGCACATCCAAAAACTCAAAGACAACCAAGATTTTTAGCCAGAAAGGTGAAGATTCAGGATAGTAATTCTGAAAAACTTGAAGCGTTTTCATGTAGAATACCATTTAGACTTGTACATCATGGCCCTGGAAAGCTGAATTAAGACAGATCACCAGAAAAGATGGGAATGCAGTATTGATTCATCTTAAGAAACAACTTCCTAAGAGTCAGGGTCTTCTCCAAAAGGAAATATCCAGCCCCCAGAGACACCGAGATGCCTCTGTGGAGGCCTCATAAGTGTTTTATCATTGCCATTTGCCACACATGTGTTAACTGATATATTTTTGGGGTAACTCTCTGAGGTTCATGCACTTTCTTTCCCATTTAAAAAATGAGGGATCCAAGGTGCAGTGAAGCTGAGGTAGTCTGTCCAATGTCAGACAATGACAAAGTGACAGACTAGGAACCCTGGTGGTCTGACTCCAGAGCACAAGTTCTTTATCACTGCCTTTGTCTCTCTCCTCCCCATCTCCTTGCTCTTTCTTCCTTCTTCCCTCCCTTCCTCTCTCACAGATGTGGTCCAGGGATTATACTCAATGGCTTTTAAAAGTATTTACAAGACAGAAATTCTAGAATTCACTGTTTATAGCTAGAGTAAAAAAATAAGTTTATTTTTTCTCTCATTAGAAGTATCTGGAGAAAAGCAACTCGGGTCTGGTAAGGTAGCTCCCTGGTGTCATCAGGAAACCAGGCCCTTCTATATTTTGTTCTTCCATCTTTAATACATTGCTTCCATCCTCAACATCTTAAAGTGGTTGCTGTGGCTTCAGCCATTCCATTTGCAAGAAGCAGGAAAGAGGAAGGACTAGAGCAAAATGACTTTTTATGTTGTTCCCACCCAAGGACTCCTTTCCAATATGAGTTGGAAAAATAATTTTTTATCCAGGCATATTTCCCAGGAATCTGTTACTAAGAAAGAAAGGGAGACAGGATATTAAGTAAGCCACCAGTAGTCCCTGCCACTGTTATTAACTTGCTGATATGGGGTGGCCAATAGGCAGCCAGTGATGCTGGCAGTGTTCAATCCGGAATTGTCTGATGGAACAGTGAAAAGTTGTCTGCTATTCTCCATTCACAAGTTAGTGGCAGAAAACTCTCATTTTGATAGCCAGCATTGGTGGTACTTCATTAAGTATAGCCATGCCTTCCTTTTACTCTTTATTCTCTCCTTTACTTTGATGACACAATATGAATTTTTCCATAGATCTTTTTTTTTTTTTTTTTTTTTTCCCAGTACGTGCCCCTAGTGGGAACCGAACCCGGGACTCTCTGGTCCGCAGGCCAATGCTCCAACCGCTGAGCCAAACCAGCCAGGGCCCATATATCTTTTTTGATTTATTGAGTTCTGTTAAACTCTGGATAGACAGATTAATTGTCCTGGGGATTTAAAATCCTAGTTTCAGTTTTGCCTATTCTGTGACAATGCTATTTTGTGAAATGAAAAAATATATTATCCCATTAATTTTTCTTTAATTTCTCTAATTCTTTATAGTTTAGAAGTGTATAAAAATGCCACATACTTCAGTACACACAGGAATTATATGGGTTGTGAAAATACAATTATATTTCAGGATTGTAGTAAGCTAATTTTCATTTTGGACCTAATTCTTTTTTTTTTCCCCTTCTCTTCCTTGTTTTTTAAACTATATACCCACTCTTTGAAACAATAACTAGTGAAAGTTTTATTACTTAAATAGCTCTCAATTTGTTCTTTAGCCCTGACATTTTCTGCCAAGGACTCTTCCTGATTTGTTAAAACATAACTTACTAAACTGGTATGTTACCCAAATTTCATTTTCATTTATACTACAGTGCTTATTATAGTTCTGGTGAGATTTCAAACCTCCAAAGCACAGTATTTAATATTGTACACTTAAAACCATTCACCTAAGTCTTTAGTGGACTTCTTTTATAATAACTATAAATACAATAATACCAGAATTTTAGTGTGATATGGCTAAACAAACTATATTGCTAATAAGATAATTTTACCTCCACAATTTTAGTTGCAGTAAATGACCACTACTAATTGGGTTGGGTTTTCTTTTTACTAAATAAAATATTACTGCAGCTTCTTAATGGAGACAAGTTAAGAAATTTAGTTAATCCAGTTTGAAATGGAATTAAATACATCACAGTAATGTACCATGGTCTTACCTCCATTTCTTTGGAGGAAGAATATAATCAAAAACTTTTCTAAATGTCATCTGGGTTTTAGTGAAGCCCCATTTGTTCCAGCATTCACATCTACTCCGCATAACAAAGATTTGTCAAGAGACAAGAACTTCCTCTGAACCCATATTTGTCTCTGCTACAAGTGAACTTTTTGCCCATCATAGCTGAGAACACCCCTGCTTTATAGTCCCAAGGCCTTGTGCCATGAGAATGTAAGACAGCTGGTGCAAGTTTTCTAACTGAGGCCTCAAGTTGCCTTTAAGTTTGCTTGTCGTGCTGGCCTCATTAACTTCCACATAATCACCTAGCCACCAAATATAAATCAGGGTGGTAAAAGTGGTGGCCCATGGGGCAAACTCACTCCACTGTACTGTTTCACTTGGCTTTCACAGTGGTGTTTGTTTGATTTTAATTTGGACTGAAATGATAAAAAATAATCAAGAATCCACTGGGAAAAAAAGTATCTAGCATTTCTTGAGAAATCAGATCTGCCATACTGAATCCATACTCTATCCTGGAAACAACGGATGGAGTTGAGTTATGGCTAAACTCTCTGACCAGGGCACAAACCCTTCAGTTTGCCACAGTGTCCCTGACACTAAGGGCAAGTGTCAGCATCATCCTTCACTGTTTTTTTACTGTTGCTTTCCTTACAGTGTCTGTTTCCACTCTATGTTAAAGTGAGAATAGAAATTGTACTGAGAGGGCTCTGTGTTGAGAGATAGGAGGAGATGGGGATGAGAGAGAGATAGTAAATTTGAGGGAGAGGATGTCTTTCTAACAAAGCAAAGAAAAATCCTACAATTTTCATAAGTAAATAGTAGTCCACTTTCCTCATTTACTTCTCTGCCTAGACCCCATATGCACTTGGATTTCAACCCCTGATATAATTGCTTCTGTGTAGATTATTCTTACCAAAAGTGGGCATACCAACCCAGTTCTATGTGTTTTTCCACAGCTTCACTGCCTTTGCAGGAAGAGGTAGATTTTAGGTTTCCTCCTCTTGACCCTGGGCAGACCTCTATGATGACCTCCATGAATATAATATGGTGGAAGAGACACCATTAGAATTGCAAGATGAGACTAGAAATGAACATAGGGTTGTCTGGACTGAATTTCTCTCTCAAGACACTTGCCCTGGTAACCCAGCCAACCATGTTGTGAGGAAGCTCAAACCACATGGAGAGGTTATATGTGGATGTTCCAGCCAACATCCCCAGCTAAGATCCCAACTCACAGCCAGCATCAACTGCTACACATATAATGGCAACTTTTTGTCATTTTTTAATACCCAGTATGTTTTCTGGGGGAAAGAAAAAGGATTGAGATAGTTACCTCCAAATGATTCCAACCCCTAGCCATCAAGTCACCCCCAGCCTTCAAGTCTTCCCACTAAAGACTCTGACATTGTTCAACAGAGAAAAACTGTTCCCCACCTTGCCCTGTCTGAATTACTGACCTTCAGAATATGTAAGCCTGTTTTGCACCATTGACTTTTGGAACAATTTTGTTATACAGCATCATATAGTCAGAGCAACTTCTTTTGAGAATTAGCTCTAAGTGGTCATCATGCTTGTTTGTTTCAATTAAAACAATTGTATCTGGGAACAGAAAAAGACATGCCTATACTAGGCATTGCTATGTTTGTTTATATATTTAGTACTTTGTCTGTGCTTCACCTGTTACCACTGAAATAATCATTTCTCTGTAACATATCCCAGGTCCCATGCCCTACAGGGGCTGATATTAGTCAACACCTGACAAACAGAGAGATTCCAAACAGCTGTAAGCAGCAATACACTGGTACAGTTCCTAGTAATCATTTTACTCTCAATGATGAAGAAGACTGCTTGAAGGCCCTGGCTTGGATAAGAAACAACTCCATCATCACAGAAGGTAAGGATACTGGTAACTGCACATCTTTTCAGAACAGTGTCGTGTTTTTAAATAATGAATCTCATTTTTTATTTAGTTCCAGTATATAATTAGTGTCTAATTAATTCCAAGCAAATCATTCATCTGTCATGCTTTGTTTTCCAGATTAATTTACAACTTGTTGTCATTTTTGGATACCCAGCATGTTTGCTGGGGGAAAGAAAAAGGCTTGAGATAGTTTAATTATCTATAATTATTTTATTATACAAAATGAATATCTGATGAGCAAAGCATGTCTAAAATAATTAACTAATTAAAGAATAATTTAATAAGCAAACATGTTTAGCAATTAATTATATAGAAAATATGTCTTCTTTTGTGAAGCTGAAAAGATTTGGGAAGAAAAAGAAAGATCTGTGTTGGAAGGGCTCTTTTCTTCTTTTTACAACCCATTGCTCTCTTTCTTGGTGCTGCAGTCCTTCCCACAAACACACATTCAAGTTGTGTGTCACTTTTTGAATCAAAATGAGAGCATAAAACATTTGTACAAATAACTCTGCCACCCAAAAGTGTTTATTCAAGCTTCATCCTCTCTATTGCTTGAATTAAATTAAAGTTGCTTGACTAATAAACCAACCAAAGCAGGGCCTGGTTACCTATTTGTCCTTTATTGAAACCTGGAAGTAAAGTTCTGGAGAAGATATTGCAGCCCCTTAATTTTACTTAAAGCTCCTGGAGGGTCAATAACTTAGTTGGGTTATACAACCACCTATGGAGAGTTGAGATTCTATTCCAGACCTTGGATTCAGTTCAGGGATGTAAAAATCACTAAATGCCCAGGATGTGGAGATCAATATGCAAAATTAAATATATAAGTGTATTTAACGTATATATTTAAATATAATATAATTATATTAGTTAATATAATTATTGTATTACAACTAAATATAGTTTTTTCTGATTTTGGCTGGAAAATTTAGTTATTAGTTTAATTTTATCAAGTTAATATAAATACTATGTTATAAAATTACTAATGTATTACATTAAAAATAAAACATAAGTATCAAATAAAATTTAATATATTGCTGGATTTAGTGTGCTAATACTTTATAGGCTACTTGCATCTAAATTCATAAGTAAGATTGGCCTGTAGTTTTCTCTTTTATGCTTTATTTTTCAAGTTTTTGGAATCAAGTGTATACTAGTCCCACAAAGTGTTTTTTGGGAAGTTTGTTTATTTTTCTAGGGTCTGAAATGTTTCATGTAACCTAAAAATTGAACAGAAATCACCCATAAAACCAACAGGGTCTGGAACCTTTGGGAAAAGTTAGAATATATAGATATATACTGGAGGCCAGGTTTGAAACGTGTCAAAGTATTTGCATCAGAACTTGGTATTACTTACAGTTTTGCATGTGTATGTGTTTAAACCTGTTTCAACATTTTAATCATTCTTTAATCTCGACCTACATAGACCTAGGGAATTCTCTAATCTGGAGGTCAGCAGACTTTTATTATAAGGGCCAGACTGTAAATATTTTAGATTTTGAAAGACATATGGTCTCTGTCCCAGTGACTCAACTCTGCCATTATAGCAAGAAAGCAGCATAGACAATATGTCAATGAATGGGCATGGCTGTGTTCCAATAAATTTTACGTATTTACAAAGATAGGTGATGAGCCGTAGTTTGCAGAAGTCTGTTTTTATCCACACAATTTATGACAAAGCATTACCGTCTCATCAAATCCAGATGTCAAAATGTACCTTAAACTCCCTGAAAACCTAAAAGCATGTATTAGGACTGTGTATAATCCTATTATAATGCAGGGCTTTATATTAGGACTAAGGAACATTTTAACAAGAAAGGGGGCTTTGAAATTAGCAATGCAAGTTTTTAAGGTTGACGGTATATGGCAGAGAATTTAGAAATCTCAAATCAAGAAGCACTGTACTCTCTTCTTCAGATGCCTCTTTTGTACTCTTGGTTCTTAGATGGGCAAAGATCACCAGTGCTATTCTGTTGAGTTGACAAGTTATCACAGATGGTGATACTCTGGTGCCCACTTAAAGAGAAATGCTTTTGTAAGATTTAAGTATGTGTCCAATTAGCCACTGCATAAAACCACTCTGGGTGCCTGGTTTTGTCAACCAAACAGCCTGGATAAGAAGGATGTAAACATTAGTTTTTTTGTCTTAAATGTAGGCTATTTTCCCCCAGGTTTAGTGTTTTATAACATTCCAAAAGCATCTCCCAGGTAGGTGCTTTTAATGTTAAATGCTGGCCCCAGGATCTGGGAGGCATTTGAGATATCTGACCTGACCAAGTTAATTAAACTCTGTGCATTGGTCCTTTTCAAATCACTTCTCATGTAAGGAAGGTTAGAAAGAAAAATGTTAAATCCTGCCTTAAGGAGCTCTTTCTCTGTGTAGCTTTTCCATAATTAGAGTTATATTAAGATTTGAATTTAATTAGTCCCTTTCTGGATAATATCTTCCTCATATGGGCTGTTGTGAGATAAATGAGATAAGGTATAACATGTCCAACTCAAAATAGTGTCTCATACATAGTGAGAGTTCAATAGTGTAGGTTGCTATAAGCATTACTATTGCTACTACTACATGTGATGAAGTTAGTGCTACTTACTGAAGTTTCCCCAGATTGAAAATCTCAGCTTCTGCTGTCCTGGTGATAACACAGCCTAGGACACAGTCTCTACACAAAAGATAGGGATCTGTGCACACCACCAGGTGGAGAGGCACCTGGCTTTAATGAGAGCCCTGAAGACTGTAAAGTTTGGAGAAGCCTTCCTGAGAAAAGAGGATTGGAGCTCAGCCTTAAAGAAAGGCAGGACAACCAAACTGAGAGAGAAGTTGCATGATGGTACCTGAAGCTAGAAACTGGAAGTCTAGCACATCATGACAAATAACGAGCAGGGCTTTGTTCCTATATTCATTACTACCCCTCCACCTGTGAGTTATTGCTTCCTTTTCATGTCACCTTAATAAAACCAGGAAGAATGTGGACATTTATCATGAGAGTTAGCTTTTGCTCCTTCAGGGCTAAATTTTCCCTTCTCAACAGTTCAGGGTGGGGTTGGTGGGAGATTGCTGAGGATAGGGCCCTTCCCACGAGTCTGAGAAAAAAATCTCCTGTGTCTCATTGGCTATAATGAGATATCCATCCAAGAATCACACCCAGAATCCTGAGAAATGCCAGGCCTTATTTTGCTGAAGCACAGGGACTTGAGGGGAAGAACTTGTTTGCTGAGGGATTGTTCTAGAAGGGCAATTGGATGCTGGGAAAGTAGAAACAATGGACGGTCACTAGGAGGAGGCTTTCTTTCCTCTGAATTTCTGTCCATTGAAACTACATAGATACCACCCCCAAGTATCACCACTCTCCTCCCAGTTGCTGTTTTATCACTCCTTCCTCTGCATCCACAGGAGAAACAGTGGTTCTGTGATGGAATTAGTCCAGTGTGAAGGAAATGATTTTCTGGGCTCTAGAGTTCGATGGGTTTACAGAAGTCAATTATCCTAACCTATTAGAACTGCTCCAGTATCCCACAGAATAGCTGATGTCATGGGCTCAAAATCTGTTGTCAAGTGCAAACAAAATCAAACCTGGAGGGTTCAGCCATGAGAGGGCAGCAGTGGGGTGTGGGGTGGGGCGGGGTAAGGGGATTCAAATAGAACCCAACAACCTTATACATTATAACAGCTTATGGCATTAATTGAAACCAATCGAAATGTATCTGTTATTACCTCTGTACCTTGCATGAAAATGAAAAGTAGAATAAAAGTTAAAAATAACTGCCATAATGGCACAAAATGGATCAATTATTTTCTCCTTTAGCTAAACACGGTTTACTGCCTAATTAAAAGCATGTTTGTAGGAAAAGTATAACATTAAAATTCCAGTGCTGAATCACCAAAGCCTTTTTAAAGTTATATCTAATGTATTCTTCCCTTTTTATTTGGCAGAGCAAAATGTGACAGGTCAGGTTTGAGTCATAGAGTTCTTATGATTTGACTTATAAAAAATAAAAAGAGCATTCTCTGGTCTATTCCTGGACGTGATATGTTTATTTTAAATTTAAATCATTTATTTTATTTTTGAATTTTAGTTGACATACAATATTATATATTCAGGTATAAATACCAGTGATTAGACATTATATAACTTACTAAGTAATCATGCCAATAAATCTAATACCCACCTGACATCATTATTAGAATATTATTGACTATATTCCCTATGCTGTAGTTTAAATCTCGATCACTATTCTGTAATAACCAATTTGTACTTTTGTGTGTGTGTGTGTGTCTCATTTATTTATTTTATTATTTATTTATTTATTTATTTATTTATTTATGTTACAGAAGTTTCTCCTTTTCCCTCCACTGATTCCCTCCTCCCCATCCTCCCTGCTCTGTCCCCAGCTTTGTTGTCCATGTCCATTGTTCATGCATACATGCATATAAGTTCTGTGGTTTACCTCTCCCCCAAAACCCCATCTTCTGGGGATTGTTAGTCTATACACCACTTCGACATCTCTACTACTAAGCCATTCCTCAGACTGTTATGTTCATTACATTCCACAAATAAGTGAGATAATATGATACTTGTCTTTCTCTGTTTGGCTTTTTTCGCTTAGGATGATACTTTCCAGGTCCCTCCATGTTGTCTCAAAGGATAAGAGACCATTTTTATTACAGCTGCATAGTACTCCATTGTGTATATATACCACTTTTTTTTTTTCCATTCGTCTACTGATGGACATTTGGGCTGTTTCCAGATCTTAGCAATTATAAATAGTGCTGCTATGAACATGGGAGTACATATATTCTTTGTGATTGGTGTGTCACGTTTCTTAGGGTATGTTCCTGGAAGTAGGATCACTGGGTCAAATAGCAGTTCAATTTTTAATTTTTTGAGGTAACACCATATTGTTTTCCATAGTGGCTGCACCAGTCTGCATTCCAACCAGCAGTGTCCTAGAGTCCCCTTTTCTCCACA